CGACCCGATGGTCAGAGTTCTTCACAAAGAGCCTTGAAGAAAGACATGATGCTCGACGAGTCCCTAGAGCGAGCAGAACCCACTGGGCTACTCTTGCACGCGACAGGGGGAAATGGATGATTTACTGGCGCCCGCTCGAGTCACTCGACGGTCAGCGGGAGTACAGGTGATACAGGTGATACAGATCACTAGATCGAAACATGCTGTTTAAGAACCAAGCTTTTCTCTGTTTGATTCCAAAAGGAGGAATGCTCACAGCTTCATTATCAGCTATCTACACTATTTTGCTCGCTGCTGCAAAGTATTAGCAAAAATTTGGTACTTAAGATCTGTTATCATGTGCTCCAAGTAGGTAAGCATGAGGTACAACCATCACAACGAATATTTCTGCCTATATACTTAATTTTTCTTTGATAAGCTTACACGAGGTTGATAAATAATTTTCCTATTCGGATAACATTTCGACGTCTACATCTTCATCAGGCCCGATGATCCGAGTCGATGGACCACAGTTCTTCTCCTCGATGTGCCTTCTTCATCTTCACATCGATCCGGACCTTCCTCAGTGGAGCATCTCTCGTATAAGTCATACTCACCCAGCGATGCTCTTTTATACGAGGCGGTAGATATTGATAACAGTGATTATCCAGTGATAACGACTTGTTTTTCCGGACAATCGACGCTGCAGAAGTCGGTATCATTATTAGCTAGTATAAATATTAAAATGTTCTGTTTACACCTTTTCCATTATAGCTAAAAGAACTATTTCTGAAGATGTATATGGGACGTATTGCAAGCTATACGGAGAAAATGTAAATTGTTAGTACTGCTAATTGTAAAATGAAATTGTTTGAGAGCGATGTTTGTAAGTAAAATCGATGTAATCTGATGGGAATGAGTGTAAGAATACGCCTAGCCTTCTTACGAAAGAGATGAAAACAAAGGAGAAGACTTGGCGACGCTGAACTTACATTAAATACATTCTTATCTAGATCTGTATGTCTCACCAATGATCTTCCGTCATGTAGTGGCTGAGAATTTTCCTCCGCATCGAACTACAGTTTGCTGGTATAGCGGATATGTTAGTGCTGTCCTTCCCCCGAGCAACAGCCTCATGCCTCTGGTCTCAAATAGGACGAACAAACTTGTCCAAAGTTCTTTTCCTCTTGAAAACTGTTTGTCGCAGAAAATAGCTTTTATCACCCGACGTTGGACATAGTTCTGTGTTGGACAGATTATCAGCTGGAGCCAACAAGGAATTAAAAAGTACTGAGAAAACCTCTGTGTGCAAAAGGAGACGATTCCAAAGAAAACGTCAATTTATTCCAGCCGCTGCATCACATTGTATATGTAGGAACCCACTTTCTGGATTCACTGCTTACTACAGCGTTCGGTAACTAACATTTCGAACATTTATGGTCACCTATAGTCTGCTGCAAGGACACGAGTGGAGCAGTGGTCCGAGGCGCCGTGCAACACACGTATTGGATCGATCCCGCTCCCCTGGCCCACTAAGCCTTCCGTCCGGAAAATTGGTGCCAGGCTTGTCTGGAAGGATAGCAGCGCTGGCTCGATACATAAGAAGGCCACTGCGAGACATTGTAAAGACCAGATATGCATTCAGTCACCTCTAACGATACTTAATGAAGTCGAATGCAAGGCGAATCCCCAAGGGATTTATCAACGTCGAGAGCTTTATCCTTTTATAGTCTGCTGTTATCAGCGTTCAACGATGTAATAGTTTTCTTGAAGATGAGCGTAAATTGCAAGGAATCCTGCTGTTTGTGTAGTCCTAGTGTCAAGGTAATAGGAAATACTGATATTTTTTAAGCCATTTTTGCCAGAATATTTATCTATTGAATCGAATGAGAACATCCCTCTTTTGGCACTTCTCGCTGTTTTTTCTTTCGAATCTCCTTTTTACCAGCGTTTCAATCAGGAAGCCTAGCTAAGAGCAAACCAATATCAGGATCCACCACCGTCCTGGTATCAAAGTCGCATGATGGCAAATCTCCCTCTGATCCACATGAGCTGCGACTACCTCTCTTGGTAACAACCTGGGACAGACTTTGGCCAGACTCTCCTCGGGATTCCATGGAATCACAATGGCTTAACCAGTAAATCTCCGAAAAATGGTGATTATGCCATTATGCTGGGGTCCGCACAATTAGTGAGGACGGGCTGTTCAAGTATCAAGTAAGTATCGCCTTTTTACACTGCGCTATGGAATACCGTAGGGTAGTAAAGTCATATGACTGTTACGTCTTCGTAGTCATCATTTAACGTATATTTTTAAAAACCGACTTCATTTTGTCTCAGCGTGAATACTCAATATTTTGTTCTATTCACAAATCTGCATAAAGTTGTTAACAAGAACTCCCTATTTTGGCTATTTGTTATAACTAACTTTTCGACTCCCTCATCTTCTTAAGAGAAATAGTGGTTCGAATCGAATGTCGAAAGAGGTTATTTCTTGTGATGTCGGTCTTCACACTGTAGCGGTTCTCATTTGCAAAAGGCAATCTGAACGATCTTCGGTCGTCCAATGAGAACAATGCTAACTATTCACTCAACAAACTCTTCAACAAAACAGGTGTTTGAAAATCTATGGCTACAAACTGCTTCGCAATTCCACAGGTGCACTGTCCAGCTTCAAAAGTGGCATATTTTTTGCAAGCATTTATTGATTCTAATGGTCCTTATTTCAACTAATATTGTTATGAGCTAGGATATGCTTGTTCAGAATTCGATGATTGAATTATTTCCTTGCATGTAGGAACAGCCGGAGGAACGACGACTCAGTAAAACACGGGGCCGACTCGTCTCTGTGATTTCAAAAGAGCTAGCAGTTGCAAAAGATAGTATATGAATAAGTAGGGAGGATAGGATATGGAAATGAAGTACTGCAAAGTGTTCTAACTGTAGATGTTTTCAGTTACAAAGTTTGTAAATAGTATCCAAGGAGTGTTAATTGCTAGAATTGGATATTGTAAAGTGGATTTATTTGAGCGCGGTATTTATAGTATTAATGGAATGTTATGGCGATCAGAGTGGGGAAACAGACCCTATATGGATAGAGGCTTACCCCCTCTACAAACAGTAGTCTTCGTGACGCAGTGTACGCAGCTATACTACTATTCACCTATACAAGCCTCCTTGACGATTCGCCATCTTATTCTAGCTGGAACATGTCCCTCAGCGACAATCTTCAATATTCAATGCAGCATAAACACCTTTAGTCCTTCCTTCACGACAGCAGGTTCTCTGGCGATGTTCTCTTCACAGAGAACGGACTTTCGCTCAAGAAATAAACTATTCCGAAGGACAATTTCTTGTAAATTATTAAGTGTAGGGACACTCTTCCAGGTCCAACACCTTCCACTTTGAATAATCGGTAGAACATAGAAAATATTAGATGAAACCGGTACGGCAGTATAAACGACAGCAAAATTTAATTGACATCAACTCACCCTAGTCTAATTGATGTTTCCAAGACCAGATGCGAGATAGTGGATCCGTAAAAAATGAACACCATTTTTGGAGTATTTAAAGGTTTTTGGAACGCGAAGGTCTAACATTACGAACTAACCTCCTTGTATAACGAGCTTGGATTTTCATTCTACCAATCTACCTACTAGTGAATATACGTTACCCAAGCAGTAAAGAAATTTGATGTTTCCCTTTTATCCAATTAGGAAGAAGTAAACGACAGGAATGACGCTCCTATGAGGAAGCACTAATCTGGAACGAATGAAACTCTTTTGAGAAAAGAACATTCATTGCACTAGAACAGGGACGGGAAACCTAAGTAGACCACTTCACCACCGTGTATCTTAGCAATTCTCAAAATCACAGGCTAAACCGTGTGACCACATCGTACAGAGATATCACATCACAAATAGATCCCAAACCTCCATAGAGATATCTTATCATGAACCTTGGTCGTCACAAGCCGTGTGGGTCATCTATTTCCCACACGATATCTCTTCACCTCTTTGACCTATCGCCTTGCTTTCGCTACTACGGAAGTGTCGACATCGGCCATCGCTATTACGGAATTGTCAGCATCATCAGTAACTACTGAACACCATCACCCGCTGACAAAACGAGCTTGGAACTCTCTGTTTTCACCTTGATGTAGAACTGCTTCATCAATTTTGCTGTAGGAAACAACGCAACAGCTAATCTAGAGTAAGAAGACTGCAACGGGAAATCAAAACGAAAGTGCGAATAATCTTCTGAGACCATATCTACAGTATATCTCTTCTAGGTGATCTTTTAGCAATCTAGAGCATAACACGCGGATATAAAAACCCTCCATCGACACCAACAATACCAATGTTGGCCGAACCCTTACAAAAACTCATTTTATTTCATAGTACTTCCTCAGTTTTCTCCGCACGAAGAGGTTCCCTACTTTCAAATCCAACAATAAATGAACTTCGTTACTTTCAACTATAAAACTGTTGCGTGGGAAATATGAAGATCTGTATCATAGGGTAGACCCAAGCGATGAGTCTGAATGACGGGATGAAATATGCAACGAGCATTTATTAAAATTCGAACGGTACTGTTTTCCATGTATTACAATCCAACCTAATAAGGCACATACGATTTTGAAAAACTCAAAATAAGTATTCAATATAAAAAATTACACTAAGACAAATGGTTTGACCAAAATCTATACCATCAAGCTACTAAAATAGAAATGCTACTAGGCGTTTGATATCTCGAGAGCTAAGCGTATAGCGCAGATAGGAGTAAAACAATTGGTTCCATAACGATGAATCAAATCCAGCAGTAACAAAACCAAACAAGTCTGGAATATGCAGAAAAAGGACATTTACGTGGACATTCAGTGCCATGATATCCAGTGAGCATCGGAGCAAAGACAAAATCAAATGCGTACTTAAACGTTGTAATTTAGAATACGCACTTATAATAAAGTACGTAGGTAAGCCATAAAGAAGAACAGGAAAAGAAAGATATTAATCGCACGGTCATCCCCAGCCACCAGTTAGTTTGTGAAAGAGCTCCTCGTTAAGATTTTGATTTTGTTCCTTACTTCGCATTGTCAGGAATATGTAACCACCAATGAACTCATGTACGATCTGAAACTGCTCACTTAACAAATGATTTTGTACGTTGGACAGTTAAACAACATCTAAAATAACCTTGCAGTCGGCTGATAATGGTTTAAACTCGACATCTTCATCTTCGAATTGGATCTGCAAAGCTAATTATCATAATGTACATCACATAATTCCAGCACCATTACATATCTCGAAAAAAATTTCGTGGGAGCTTAGAAATAACAGAAGCATCAAAAACCATGAATCAGACAAGGTAAACTTAGTTCGCAACGGATCCTATTACTGAGCTACTGTCGCATAGCAGAACTACAAGAATAGTGATTACGACTTCAAAATAGCCTGTAATCTACTTTAGCAATCATGAGAGGAACGAAACTAGTACACTACGTTAGAGTCCAGATCTTTCTAAATTTGTCAGACTCAGCCACATCTCGGTGCCGTCATCCACAAAGACCTTCGAACTTGCGCGTCGATTTGATTGGAATTTGAGGATATTGTTTTCTTCATGGATGCCACTGAATGTTGGTCAAACCAATTCTTCTTGTAATAGCCGTTATAGTTAGCGTTCCCAGGTTTTCCCACAGGCAATCGCCGGTCATTGTGATCTTCCCCAAAGAGAATTTGTACTAAGCTGTTGAGCTAAAGCAATGGGGCTTCGGTTGGACAAGGCGAGATCGTTTATATTTGTACTATAGAGCACTCCTAGGGCTGCGCAGCTAGCACTTGTTTCCTGGAAAAACAATAGAACTGAAATACCTTCAGATGTCTTATCTCCCAATTTACATGCCACTTTTTCATATTCGAAAACCTCCATGTTTTTATGCTCTCACCGTTATCCATGTTCATTTTTACCAACCGATTAATAGCAATTCCTAAATAAAGCAACATGATAAAAACATGTAATGTAGAAGGATTGTTGTAGACGGACCGATTAAATCTGCCTTTCGACCATTCCGGAAGCGGACAATGAAGTAATGCATGCCATATTCGGGTAGCGCCTGCCACGCACGAATATATTGCAGTTTCGCCTCAGTAGACGACAATTGACGCACATTTGCATGGGCATCTATGACTCGTTGCTGTAGCTAAAAGAGTAAATCCTGACAAATATCACATAAGAAGACGAATGCTAACAGGCCTCAAAACCAACAGATTGCCTGCTCCTCGCTTTTCGAACATATCGTTGTGAAACGTACTCCTCCACATTAAAGTCGCTCGGCAATTTTACCGGAGTGGAGAGGCGCATTGTGCTATTCTCATTCCTTCCATTGGCTAGAAACAGTCAATCATAGGAAGAACAACAGGACTAATTTGGATGACGCCGCGTGTCTGACCAGCATGTTTCATAACAACATGACATGTAATATTGGGAAACTTACTCGCGCTTTGCATATGAAGCAGATTTTTGATACTCTCCACTTCTTGTGGATAAGAAGAATCGGCCATTGACTTTCCTCTTGACGCGAGACGACATGCTGCCATCCATCGCGCATATTGGTGTTCCTAAATCGGTGTTGAAACATGGCGAAGAACTTCAATCCATCGATTCCTTTCATGCTAAAAAGATCTACCGTGTCACACTTCAGAACGAAATCAGTCATGCCCTCAGCTGTAGGAACAAGCAGCTTAATGTGGTACTTCCCTTGAGAAACGGAAACATCGGGACTAACTTCGCAACCGAAAATCGAACTTTTATGATGACAAAGCTCTCGTTATACAATCAAGAAAAAAATCAGGTAACCCACAATAACCAACCTTTCAAAGAAAAGTGCCCAAGTGGTGACTGATTTATATCAGTAGAGTTTTGGTAGTAGCTAAGATAAAGATCGCGAAACGAGAAAAAAGCACGCTTGAATCCCTTGAACGCAGCAAGTTTCTTCGGCCTAAAAATACCGCACATTATAACTCAGGTATCAGATTGACCACTGAACAAGCAACCAATGAATTCAAACAAAATTACTTCATATATTTGAGATAGTCGGCAAGTTCAGGGACTTGCATTAAATCAGATCGACGACCAAGAGCAGCTGCGTCTAGATTTTGTTCCTGTACTAAGAAAAAAATCACAGGCACACATAAAGGATTTAGTTGAGAGTGATTTCCACTGAAACAACCCACTGACCAATTCATCCAGCATCATATCAACATCATCTTTCACTGGTCCCTCTGGTTCAGGAGAATCTCGTTGCAACGTTGCTTGCAACTATCAATATTTATTGAGATGGTTTATAACTGAGAAATTAAAAATGTACACCTCCACTACCTGCAGTGAGGCAAATAGAGTAGCTTCTTCCTCAGTATGATCAAACTCGTCCAACAATATGGACCATTTCGCCTGTTCGTAAAGCTGGTTAATGCGAACAGGATCGTACTAAAAACGCTGTTTCATGCGTAACACTCTATATAACTGACATTTCTAAGGCATCACAAAAATAACTTAGTTACCTTAGGATTAAGATCAAAGAATGTCATATATTTGAAGCGTAACAAAACAATGTCGCCTTCAAACACACCTTGTTCCATTAATGATCTGAATTCATGAAGACATATAACCTCGCCTTTCACAATCACAACACTCTACATTGGATTCTTAGAAAGAAAAATTACCCTGCTTGATGATAAATACAACCACAACGATGCTGATATATTCTTGGACCCATACCCGGATCGAACCACGATTACCCTTTCCGCGGGCTCGCGTACTACACACTACACCACTGACGCCCTTGTTTTGTGTTTCTCTCAGCTAGTTTCCTACCTAACGCTCCATCAGCACCTGTCGGCAGAATTGACCTGGGGAGCACAAGTCAGCATTGAATCTAGTTAAGTTGACCCCCGAAAAGGGAAATCGTGGTTCGATCTGGGCCGTGGTCCAGGTTTTGCGAATCTCTCGGCATCGTTGTGATTGTATTTCACATCATAGCATAACATGAAAAATTATAGTAGGCAGCAAATAGAAGGTTAACATTGTTACCTGCTTGAGTCCAACCACCCTCTATTCAGAGCTGCCTTTTCGACGTAGTTCTGCGGACGAAAGACAATGGTTTCGCGATTTGCTGCTTGACGTGGAGTATGCACAAGAGCCATATCAAATTGTTCGTTTTCAAGTCCTGTTAAATCAGAACCCTTAAGAAAACCAGACAACCTAATTTGGAAAGCTATTCCTCGCACACGAATTGAGACTAAGATGGATGAAGCATTTTTACCTTCACAAAAACTAATACTAGGCATGATCGGCACACGACCCATTGTTCCATTGTACTATAACAATTCACTTTGTAAAACACTTATGATACTCATGATGCACATGGTCAACTTTCACTCACGGCACCAGGACTAGGACTTGCTCCTCTAGGAAGAGTTCCATGCCTCGGCAAAGTCCCCATCTCATGAGCATTAAAAATGTGTCCACTTGTTGACAGCGCGGGTGATTGTCCTCGACGCATACGTCCATCAATCTGAGTCTGCGAGGCAAAGATTGGAGTCGCCTTCCTTAACGTCATTGGACCGACGGATTCCTATAAATAAAGAGTGAGCAACATAACGCTACCACACAAATCACCTACTGTTAAAAAATTTTAGAACATTCTCTTTCTTTACGCATACACATAAAAACACAAAGAAAAGGTTAGCCATAGCATTAAAACATGGAAGAGGAGAACGTCGTGTAAAAAAAATCACTTCTCCAGGCCGTATAGGTTGGGGTCCAGACGAATTCTCAGCCTCGTAGGTCCCTTTCCGAAGAATATCAGGTGGGATCAGCCTGGAATAGATAAACTAGAATCAATTAAATAACAAGTCAAAAACAGCCATCACTAGACGTGAAGATACCTCTTCAATCCTAATTCTTCCGAATGTCTGATTCCTAGATCACGACAAAGTTTTTGCGTCGCTTTGAAAGCATTAACAGAGAAATCCAAGCGAGCTTCAATTACTTGGTTGTCTGGAAGCTGCACCCTACAAAAACCGTTAACACGATTAAAACCTAAAATTATAGTCAAATCAAAATAAATAAAGTCACCTTGCGTCTTTATGCATCGGTGTGAACTCCAGTTTAGTATCCGCGGTGACACCGCATTGGTCAAGGGTAGAGCGGGTGTGTTGAAGCCAACGGCGCTTCTCCGGCCACCACAACGCATGGTCAGACCAATCCCTCGTCACATCTACAATCTTTCTAACACGTTCATCTTATAATGTCATTCCATTAAAGTTTGGACATAAAAGTAAAGGATAAAGCTCTTGGCGTTGATTAATCCTTTAGGGATGGAACATCGTTTGGAGGTGAGAGAATACATATTAGGACCTTACAAAATGACTCGCAGTGGCCTACCGATGTATCGAGTCAGCGCTGCTATCCTCCTAGACAAGTCTGGTACCAATTTGTCGACCCCGAAGGGATGGAAAGCTTGGTTGGCCAGGAGCCGGGGAACTAATTCTATGTGTATTGCAGGGCGCCTCCGACCACTGAGTCACAAGTGCCCCTAAGTTCGGATATATTAAACTAACATTGGAACTATCATGTTATAACAACAACGATACTGAGACATTGGCAAAAGTTGGACCTCGGGCCGGATCGAACCACGATTATCCTTCTCGGTGCTCGCGCATTACACACTCGCCATTGAGGGCTCTGCTTTGCCCTTCCTTCAACTAGTCTCTACCTAACGTTACCATCAACAACCACCCGGTTTGATCTTGCCTTGGGTCCAAGATTATTGAGAGGAACTCCGCTCACGAATACCTATTAGCTCTACCAGCAACAAGAAAAAAGTGTGATCCATAAAACATTAAAGATCGGTCGGTTACCCTATTCAGTAAGCACAGTTGCTTAGTAAAGAAGTTACATTTGGGAAAGGAGCAGTTTGGGACATGCGTAGTCGTCAATCTAACCACCGGCATAAATCGACAAACTGGAATTGCAGCTTGTGGGGAAAGATAGTTATTAAATTATGAAAAATGAAACATTTAACATAAATAGAAACTTGGATTATTTCACATATCTATGTCCACTATCCGCGGATACCGCATACTGCAAATCATCCTCTTATGAGAACCAGTGCTTACGTAATAACTTAGGACTTTAGGCATTTACTACATCTTTTTCGAACGCTCCTCCCAACATCAAGGTATCAAACTAGTTGCATGGTGGCAAATCTCCCCCCGATCCACAAGAGCGGTGACTGCCTGTAGGCGCGGTGACCTGAGGCAGACTTTGGTTAGGCTGACCTCGAGACTTCAGGGAACAGATTGCTAAGCTAGCAAATCTCCGGAGAGATGAGATTATGTTAGGGTCCGTGTTGGCAGCAGTCAACGAAGGTTCTTACATAGGATTGTTCCACTCCTTGGTCGATAAGTGCTGTTGGAATTGCATTCGTTTCGATGCTGTCAGACATTTTTTTCGCAGTCGATGAAGATGTAGATTACACTCAGCAAACATAGTGGTAAGTATATTGGCAAGTAAGTAAGTGGTACATCTGTTGCGAATGCTGGTGTTTTTACATTGATAAGAGTTCATGAGAGTTCCGAGTAAAGAAACGCGCTACGTGTGAAGAGATGTTTTTCCGCGGTGGTGTTTATCTCGCAGCACTACTCACTACATCTGCACAATATAAGCGTTTCTTCCGCGAGTCAGTGTAACATAGAGCCAAATGGCGTAGGCGGTTCCGCTCGAGCTGAGATCAGTCGCCAAACAAACTAAAAACATTAGCAAAAATGAAGAATATTATTTGATCAAACCCCACCCCAAAGAAATATCAGGAAGCACAATCACTACTAATGGATGATTGCTAGACCGTCCATCTGAACGGGCACAAGCACAAGCAGGCAACCCACTATTTGCTAATGTCTAGCATGTTCGATCAATAACAACTAATGCTCTGGATGCCCTCAAAGATACGAAAGTACAATGAAATCACAAGCTAATTGACTACAGAGCTAAATCCCTAATTATGAACGATAAATTGACCAAAATTACGGAAGATGTTAGGTCAAAAAACGAGCAAAACAGGTAAAAAGCACATCACTGCACATAAAGAAGTACGAGAAAATGACAACATTAGTGGAAGAGATAGAATATAACCATGGAAAAGAAATTCAGCCATGAATCTCAATTTATTTCTAAATTTGGAAGATGACTTACCAATATCATCAACAAGACGCATCATTAGCCCTCCAACGTGCAGATCACCACGCACAAAAAGGCTTCTGAACTCAATGGAAACATAAGTAATGAGACCGGAAAAGAGAAAAAACTGGAATGTGTAGGAGCAATCGCCAACCTTTGAATGTTCATATCGGTGACGAGGATAGGAAGGCTCCAGGAGCCATCGCTAGCCGCCAGGCCATCCACGACCAAGTGCGCCATCTGTGACGGTGACTAAGGTTTCATGCACCAGACGCGGCCGCTGAAACCACAAAACAATCGATCCGAAAACAAAAAGAACTTGCTATTCTGAAGAATACGCTTGTCAAAAATCGTGTTTGAAAGGAAACGTGCATATCTGGAATATGAAAGATGCACTTCTAGTCATTACAATTCTTCTAATTGCAAGACCAACAAGAAAAAGAAGTTAAAAACTGCTGTATAGATAGAAATAATTCGAAATTTCAGTAGAAGTACCCTGCCAACGACCTACAAATACTCAAAACTTGAGAATACTTGAAGAAGGGGCTAACTGCTTCTAAGGAAGAGGAGATGTGTCTGAGGAAAAAGGGAAACACGCACAATGTTCATTTATGCCTTCTTATCTCTGTGTGCACTCTGAACAGATTTATAGAATGACATATCACCGTTTTCAATTCAACGAGCAAAGGACCTACACACCGCAGTACACTCAGGCGCAATTGACAGAAAACTAGCAAGAGTTGCCTTGCGATTTGGTGGACGGAAGATCAAAAATATCCCCTAACGACCTATACCAAACATTCACAAGTAGGAACAGACGGATCGCTGGAATGGCATGCGTCGAGGTGGCTGGTCAATGCCAGGTGCGGGGGTGCGTTTACAGCGCGGGGTCTGGTGGCCGTCTGGCGGTGGCCCACGGCCAACCCCAGCCCCAGCGGCGGACGCCCGCCTCCGCCCGCACCGGACGCGTGCACGCCGCGGCTCGAGCCGGCGTCACGCGGGGTTCGCGTCCATTGTCTGCCGCCACTCAGCCGTCCTTCTGGCGTCAGCCAACAATCCGGCCTGGCACGTGCTAGATCTCGTTGGTGTTGACTAGACCGCAATGAACTCCCTACTCCTGGTAGTACTGTTAGACACTCATAAGTTGGACTTCCGAATGCTCAGTGTTGTTGCGTGATTTTAAACTTTTAGAAGATGACCAGTATTTTGCGAACATCGGCACTGTCCACGTAGATGCTCCATGGTGCATTAGTTTTTGATGCTTGCGGTGATAAGAGGTGTGGAGGAATTACTTATGATGGCTTCTGAGTAGAATGTTCCATAAAAAGAATCTTCCAGTGTTGATCTGTCCCACAAGGATGCGCCATGCATTCTACTTCATTAAACATCGTTGGAGGTGACTGAATGCATATATGGCCTTTACAATGGCTCGCAGTGGCCTATCGATGTATCGAACCAGTGCTGCTATCCTCCCAGACAAGTCTGGTACCAATTTGTCGACCACGGGGAGATGGAGGGCTTAGCGAGCCTTGAGCGTGTGGATCGATCGCATATGTATTGAAGGAGCCTCCGACCACTGTTCCACACGTGCCCTTTAGTTCCATATATGAGTGTGAATATTATTTTCTCGATAAGATTGGTAAAAGTGAACAATTAACGAGGAAATCAGTAGTAAATGGCTTAACTATCAGTTCTACATGTAGCAAGAGTTGTTGAAATCAACGACCAATATCCCGGCTTCGTGTTAGCTTTCGTAACCGCTTGCAGTGGACCCTTTGAGAACAATGCTTTGTCAGATATTACCTAGAAACCACATATGTTTACTCTGACGTATTCAAAACAACCTTTGTAGTAATTCTGGTAAGGAGTTCAAGTTGCATAGCCCGTGCTTAATCCTGTTGTCAATTTCAGTTCGTAAGTGGCATGTCAGGTGTTTGCAGTGCAGTGGTTATGGTTGCCCTGCAGTACACGCTGTATTTATTACTGGTTCGATCCCTGCCCCGGTCGACGATCAGACGACTGAGAAAAAGTGTTTCCACCCTTTGAAAAGTTTTTAGGGGCACGTGTGGCGCAGTGTTCAGAGGCGCCCTGTAATACACATGGGTTCAATCCCAGCGCTCCAGGCTCATCAAGCCCTCTATCGGTACCATGCTTGTTCTGGAGGATAGCAACTCTGCCTTGATAGATCGGTGGGCCAGTGCATTTCATTGTGTAGGCCGGATATGCATTCAGTCACCTCTAACGATGCTTGACAAAGTCGAATGCAAGGGACACCGAGGAATTGATTAGCACCAGCAGGTTCATTATTTGTCTCAATATGCACGTCACCGAGCTTAGATTCATTGGACGTAACAGGGCAACGATTGATGGATTTTGGAATCAAACTAGTCAGTGTAGGAGAGGGTGGTGCAGTGGGATTATCCAAGATGTTTGTATACCTTACTGATGTGCTCTTTCTAAAAACTCGCCCCACTTTTCGGTGAAAACACACAAAGGATTTCTTTTACGAAAGTGACGTGGGGATCCTATAGTTCCTTGCAAGTGTATGACTCCAACATTAGGGAAAGGTGTGTACAAAGCAACACAGTACTTCACAAAATATAAATGTTCTAATGCAATATGCATTGCACTGAAGTTTCTGTGAGAAGTGATTATTCTTCACTTCTGGGCTCATGGCTGTGGATTAGTTCATACCACTTTGTAGGCTAATCATATAAGGAGTTTAGCGCACAGTGTACGGTCAGACCCACGTATTTATCCTGAAACTAGTGCATCTAACTCGTTGGTTTGGGGTAGAAGACTCGGACAGAGGTAGCACAGCAGTTTTTCACTTCCTCAACAGCAGCTAAGAGTCCTTTTGATCTCAATAATGTTTTTTTTTCACTCTCACACGTTTATTCTGGAGCAGTTCATAAGATTCATAAGAAAGCTTGTCTCTAGTGTTTACCTAAGATAAACGGAAGCATAACTCAAAAAAGTGTATGTCTTCCAATTAAAGAAAAACTAAAGTTTCATATATCATCTTTCTTACCACACATTTCAAAAAATATATACTTGTAGCACGTTACACCGTACCGGTATCGTAGAATGTTGAAATTTTTAAGTGACACCTTTAGTGATGACAAAGAGTGTAAAATTCGCCTATTTGGTAAGAAGATAGGAGATAAGGGCGATCACGATAGCGATGAGGTCTGTAGATGAACGACTCCAGCGGATTCGGCGATCTTGATGACCTCTGCTCGTTATCGCTTGGCTGAGATGAGCATGACTCCTTGTCGTACGAATACGATTGCTCCTCGTCCTTAACTATATCACCGATATAGTTTCTTTTCTCATCTTTAGTTCGCCTGTAGAATGTCCGACATCCGCAAACCCAAGGTTTAATTATCCAAGTTTGTGCTATCAATAATCTGTACCGTTCATTAGTAATGTGGCGCTATCCTTAGTAAAAGCTGCTTTGACTATTCTTTGCTTTCCTTGTGTATTAAAGAGTTCTTTCGCTTCGCTTCACTTTGAGGCATGCAAAACTTGTTGAAGCGATTGATAGAACGAGGGTTGTTGAAGTGAGTTTGAAGCGATGAAGAACTGAGTGTTAGTCGGATAGCACGAACGTTGAATACACTGTTAGTTTTTCTATCGAAATGCGAACGTGTCACTTTATTCGGATTTTTTGTATACCATAACTGTGCGTTATAATTTAGTTTGCAGTAAATGTTAACATATTTAGTTCCTTTTCCGTTTCAGAATGGTTCGTCAGAAACAATTGAGGACCTCAAAATCGCCTACAAAGCACCAAGTGGCACCACTCAACAGAAAGTTGGAAACGAAGAGAAGATTGCACACCACCGATGACAGTCAGCCAAAGGTCTTAAAAGTAGCGAGACATGTTGGTGAGTGTTTGTTGAATTGAAAGCATTCTCGAGAATTGGCCATCGTGAACTGGAATCGAAAATTTTGAAGAACTCTCTTCATTCCAGTGCTTGTCGCAAACCCTTGCTATTCAAGAATGTTGTACTTTTTGTACTTGATTGTTGGAATCAAATTAAGATACAACAGATTTCATTTGGAAGGAGCATTATTGGTTGCTTTTGGCTTGTGCCAGAGGGCTTTAAACTCACGAAAACTATGATTTATTTTGATACAACATTAAATATCATATGTCCTTGATCTTCAATAGGGCAGGTATGTGTATGTATATGTGTGTGTATGTGTATGTGTATGTGTATGCGTGTGTGTATGTGGTATGTGTGTTTGTATGTGTATGCGTGTGTATCTGTGTGTTTGTATGTGTATTCGTGTGTATGTGCGTATGTGTGTGTGTGTGTGTGTCCGTGTGTCTGTGTGTGTTACAGGACGCCTCCGACCACTGAGCCACACGAGTCCATTACTTTAGCGACAGTCTATGCTTGTATGACTTCCGTCTAGGACTACGCCTGATTTTCGTGCATGTTCAACAGATGCTAGAAGCAAAAATCAGAATTATTCATCGTAGGGAAAGAAAAATTGCACCTTCTTACCAGAAATCTACAGAATTTTTCTATCGCTTCCATGCATGAGTCATATGTCGACATCTCATGGTCGCATTCATGTTTTAAGTGTAGTGAATAAGTTTTGTTTTAATGGCTGTTTTACATGTCCTTTACAGCTCGTGGAGTGAAAGCTCTTCGCGAGATTCGTCATCTCCAGCGCACGACTGCGATGCTTATCCCACGCCGACCATTTCAAAGAGTGATACGAGAAGTGGCCAAAGAGGTATTAGCATTTGTGAGATTTTCACTTGGACTATGGTATTGTGGAAGAAGTTCGTGCAGGTGTGTCTCAAACGTGGCATGAAGGAGGAATACAGATGGCAGGCGAACGCCCTCTTGGCTCTGCAGGTGAAATGCATTGAATTCATTAATGTGTTAACAGCCGCCGTATATGGGAAGCACTGAAACATAGGAGATCGCAATTTGGAGCACTCCTTTTGTTGGCCCTACTAAGTTACTTTTTCTAGGAGGCGACCGAGGTTTATCTGACGTGTTTGTTCGAGGACACTAATTTAGCGGCTATACATGCACATCGTATTACTATCATGCCGAAAGATATGCAGTTGGTTCGTAGACTTCGTGGTGAGAATGTCTCAATGTCAACTTCTCCAAGGAAGAATAGACAGCATTGCTCGAACCTATCTAATTAGCTGCTGGATGTGCTTCTGCTAAATAGTAGAGTTCTGGTCGTGGTCGGATACTTGTTCATTCATTATATCATTCTTTATCAATGTATATCGGTGTCCCGTACTAACCAGATTTTAACCCATTCCGCCCCATATGGATACTGTAGCATTCGTAGGAATTTGCACCAATGACCGTGTACACACTATAGCGTCTGTAATCAGTTTAATGGATTCCAGGGTTTTTTCTTTTTACCAGACATTGTATACCAATTCGATTCAAAACAGTAGGGGTGTGACCAGAAAACCACTCTTTACGTTTAATTGTTTACAAAAAAAAACTTTCGAAAAAACTCATTGGTCTATCTGTGTCTTGACTAACAGTTTATTGTTACTCCATTTTAATCGCTATGGTTGTTGCAATGTGCTGATGCTAAATTACCGAAAGAAACCTAGCATAGTCTACAAAATACTCCGACAACAATGCATTTGCAGTGTGGACCATATTAACACACAATAACAAGTGGAATACATTCATTCATACTTTAGAACGATAGAGAAAAGTCTGTTTTACAATCCTATCTTGTTCAAAATCTCTCAAGTCCTCTATGTATTCAGAAAAGATCTTTTATCCTCAAAAATCTAGAAAGCCGTTAGGTGATGGAAAATTACGCATGATCAGTTGGGTCATCCACGGAGAGAGGCGCTGGGGCGGAGTGCTACGATGATGTCTGTGTTTTGCGGAATGTTATCATCCTTATCCTATCTTACTTTGTAAGAACATTATGTTCGTGTTTTTTTTCTGTAAATTTGGAATTACTAGCCCGTACGCCTCCCTGTTTTATTTTGATGTTGTGTTTTTTGTTCAAGCGTATCTGTGTAAAGAGATAAATCGTCCACAAACTTTGGTTTGCTTCAATATCTTTGTCAAGGAGTACTAAAATAGTGGATACTTAAGACTCTACGGGATTGCCACGACCGACTTTCTATTAACCTCGGCATTGATCAAGTGATTTTGTTTTGATTAGTGAGTTAGTGATTAGTGAGTGAGTGTTTTGATTAGTGAGTTGTTAGTTAGTTAGTTAGTGTTAGTGATTTTGTTTTTTTGTGATTTTGTTTTTTTTTTTCAAAATGAACCGCAGGGAAGAATGCCTCATTATCACGCGTGATATAGGGCAGTATATAAAACTGCTTTTCTGATGTGAGGGGCACATTATACTTCCACGTGATTTCTGTGCGGTTGGTCTCTACGTGACATACTTAGTGGAGACCTCATAGAAAGCGGTGAGTGTGCAAAGCTGTGTTCAAAGTGATTGAAATCTTGGTTTGGGGTTTCTTTGTTTGGTTATGGAGGCGTCTGGCCGAGTGAGTTGCTATCAACTTGACCTTTCCAGGCTCTGAAGAAGGCGAAATTCGCCGAAACGTCAGCTTAATCGTGAACAAAGAACAATAACACCTCGCGTTTGCTCAAAAAATACGAACAAAATCACTCTACGGGATTACTTGGATAAGAGTGCGGGCTCTTTCTGACATTCAAACAGCTTTTGTCGTTCATAAGTTTTCCACTACTTCCACTAACACTTTGTTTCGTTTCATGTACTCCAACCCTGAGTTGACACTACCTACTTTCTGAGTGCTGGGTGTTCTCATCTACTCTCATGACGCGGTTGTGACACGCGCCAAAAGCGCTCGGAAAACTAGTGTTTCCCTTTTAAGTCGATACGTCATCTTTTTGTTCTTCCTTATGGTGCGAGCATTCCGTATTTCTTTTTTCTTTGCCCTCATGTACATGCTCCTACTGCGGTGGAAGTGCTCATAGAGGGTTATAAGGTTGTAAATGCGATAAATGAAACGCTTATATGCGTCGTAGAAAAGTGGCACTAAAAGAACATCATTAGAATGGAAACGCTATGAAGAGAAGTCGGAAATGGCGATATAATCACGGCAATCACTGTTAAGTGGCACTTTCGAAAATGTTCGGATCCTCGAACACGAGGATTTGGGAGACGTGCTTGTGACCTATACCTACTTATATCATCTTTGTTTCGTTGATCAAACTTAAACCTAAGGAGAAAGATGTTTTCTAGAAGCAAATTTGTTCTGAGTGTCCTATTTAATCTCGAAGGATATCTTTGAGTGCACCAACTATGTATATTTGAATTATCGCTGATTCAGAAAGCCAAATACGAAGGAATGGGAAATTTGTGTGATCGAAAACGTCTACTCTGCTCCCCTCTCCCCTCTTCTATTTCACAACATGTCTCCGACTATTGAATAGTACGTGGGGAAGATAAATTTTTGATCACCATCATCGAGTGGCAGGTAGAAACACCTTGTATAAGGCATGTAAGAAGTATGTGATTCGAAGTGCTCACTTCTGTCGATAAGTAGCACACGCCAAAACGTCGAAATTTGAACGGGCTGGACACAACGCATCTTCGGAAAAACACTTGGACACTGGTACATCTTCTAATAGCTCCCTGGATCGACTTTCTATTAACCTCGGCATTGGAATATGAATGTGTCGTTTTCTTGTTCAGCAATCGCAAGGTTTTTAAACAGCATACATTTACTTCCATAGAGAAACACAATACAATACAACACTAGCTGACGTTTCGGCAGCATCGCCTTCTTTAGAAGAGAATAGTTGGCTCTGGAGAAGGCGATACTGCCGAAACGTCAGCTAGTGTTGTATTGTATTGTGTTTCTCTATGGAAGTAAATGTATGCTGTTTAAAAACCTCGCGATTGCTGAACAAGAAAACGACGCATACACTTGGACACTGTCCATTTTCGACTGTGTGGCATGAGATGTCAACGCATAACAGGAAATCGGCAATTCGACGGGTAGACTCCTTTATAAAGGCCACGAACGAAAATTTTTACACTATCTCTTGAGTAAAGCCCGCTAGAGAACCCTGGTACGGTAGATGAACGAGTAGCTTTCGGCAACCTTTACTGGTAGCTGCTCGAATCACTGGACAACAGAACAGGTAGTACAGCCGTAAGATTTCAGTGAGAAAAACTCTTGTACCTGCATAGACGGTCTGCGTTAACACAAGTTTCAAAATTCTTACCATTCATTTCACTGTCTTGCGACGGTAATCCACGGTTGTGCAACGGTTCGCGTGTTGGCTCCAATGTAACCTGAAGAGGCCTAATTTAGTTTTGAGTAAAGCTAATTCATGCTGGAAAGGAAAACATCAGTCCACCGTTTTAATATTTCGCCATTAATATGCGTGATGAACGAATAGTTTTCGAGACGAATGAAGCATCGGTGTTAGCTTCTGTTGTATGGGACCAAGGTGGTGGAACAATTTCGTGCATACGCCGGCACCGGAATGCTCTTCAGTGGTGCCCGGTGAAACGCATCGACTTCAATGCATTTGTGTTCGATTACTTCTTTTACTGCACACCCTTTTTATCTGCCATTAGATTAATAGCTTCCTCATAACTAAAGTTGTACTGAACGTAATCCGAAATAGGCTACTCTTTACTTTTCACAATTTCGAAAGAAACCATTTCCACGGCAAGTTTCTTTATCTCTATGAGTCCCCCAACGATTTCCCTGTTTATTGTGCTGCGACGGTAATATAAAGATCGTTGTTGGTGAGAAGGTTGTGGTTATACCTGGAACCTCGGTGCATAGGGAAATCTTGCTGACAACGTGAGGCGTTAGCGCGCTCAAGAAGAGTGTGTGAGTGGAACTGTGGTATTGATCTTTCTTCAACGTAGTCAGAAGCGTTAATTTTAAAATAACAAGGTCTTCACGGCGTGCGCGTTTACCAGTTTTTTCCGCGAAGTCCGTCTCTGAAAACATTACGGAGTCTCAGTTCACAGTCACAACATCTCGCTAGTGTTTTGAGAATCGAGCTGGGAAATTCTTTTACAATCAATTTACAATCTTCAATTTATATGTGCTTTTGTGACTATTACTGAAGTAGTCGAAGCCTAAAGGCTACCGCTATTGCCTAATCTTGTACCGACCTGTATGGAGCGATTTCCAGCGAATCTAAAGAAATTGTGCTTCGAGGATTTCTTGTAGATTTCTTATATCAGCCAACGTAACGTCTCCTATTTCTGTTTTTTGTACTCGACATATTTAATTGAAAAACTATAAATTTGGAGCTAAGTACACCGAAATTCTGAACTCATTGCGATTCCTTGCAGAATCTCACAGCAGATCTGTGCCTTCATCGAGCCCATCTGAGTGAACTGGATGGAAGAAAAGCCGCATATAGATGGACTATGACCAAGAAAAGTCATGTATCTAAGCAAAGATGAACGAAAATTATCCACACCATTTGTTATTGTTCTTGGCATGAGTGAAATACGACGGAAACTTGCCATTTGTATTGTCGAAAAGCTCCCGGTTCTTGTTTAATCCAGTAATTTGCGGTCTTGATATGCTGACAAGAATTGCTCAATATAATAGTATTTTATTCTGAAGTAGACCTAAGGCTGTTAATAAAAGCTTTATTCAACACTGGTTAACGAGCCAGGCTTGAAAGAAGGGGAAACCGCCGAGAAATCAGTGTTGCATAAAGCTTTTAGTAACAACCGCGTGCCTGCTTAAGAAGGAAGTATTGTTTTACTCACTAGTACCGCGATTAACATAAAGTCGGTCCTGAGAAAGATTTCCTGTCGATAAATCGACCAACAAAGCGGTTTTAATATAACAGTTCGCAAAAAAAGTCACATAGTAGTTCTCATTTCACGTCATTTAATGTTTCGCCTTTGTGTTCATTAAAGTCGATGATCCGAGTCGATGGTCCACAGTTGTTCCTCTTCTCGACGTAGCGTCGTCATCGTCGTACCGAGACGGATCTTCTTGTTCAGGCGAGCACCACTCCAACGAGGTAAGCTCACCAGGTAGTGGATGACTCGGATCATCGGCTCTGATGAACACGAAGACATCGAAATGTTAGCCGAATAAATCTATTTATCGACGTCGTGTTAGCTTAATAGTCCAAGAAGCTATCGATTATTACTATCGAGGTTAAGTGACGATCGATTTCAAAATTATCC